TCAGTGACATCCAACACACCTGGTCGTCAAACACCTGCTGCTCGCACCTCTGGGGAGCCAACAACCTCTGTGATCCCTGGTCACACTCCTGGTGTGTCACCAGCAGCAGGACGAACAGGCGCCTCCAACAATTCACCTATCTCTCCACAAAACTCTTCCCACTCCAACTCTAATCCTTCGAACGGCGACCAGCCCGGTCTCATGGCCCCTCCTAGTACCCCCGGTAGGAGAGAGGGTACCACCGGTCCTGACCTGACAAATATACGACTTGCTGGCCAGGCTCGCATCGGAAGTTCAGGCGGCAGTCAGTCCGGTCGCGGTGGGACCCCTTCATCGTCACCCACTCGTAGAAGAGGTGGCAATCCTGGGAGTGGTCTCAATAGAAGCCCCGTCCGTCGTATTGGTCCCCGTGCAGATACGTCGCAAGAGACACGTCGGAGTACTGATGAATCGAGCCAAGAGCCAAGTCAGGGCCAGAGTCAGGAGAGTCAAGAACAGAGCCAGGAACCAGAGCCAACTTCTCAAACCAGAGTGGATGGAGGGGAAAGTCGCATGTCCGGTGAATATAACGAAAAAGATAACTCTATTATCTGGGAGGGTACTCAGGAAGAGCGAGAGCAAGAGGTGTTCGAGGGAGAGGTAGCGGTAGAGGGGGAGCAAGGGCAAGCGAAAAAGCCACTTCCGCGGACTGGGCCATCCCTAATGCTCCCACCACCACCCCGCGATGGCACGATAGTTGCTCAGCAGGACTCTCAAGAAGAGAACTCTCAGCGGAGATCGAGTAGTGGCGGAAGCCACAATCAAAGCCAGAGTAGTAACTCGTCAAGAACTGTCCCTACTATACAACATGCATCACCACGCCGAGGGAGCACAAGCACACGAAGGGGCTCTATTCGGTTAGGTAGCTCTTTCGGGGAAGGTGAGCGAGCACACCGGGACCAAGATATTTCTGGTGCAACGCAGAATACCCAATCGAGCAACGATAGCCGCCCATCTTCTCAAAGTAAGGTAGTGGCTGCCAATATTGTCGAAAATTTCATCGAAATTCGCACTGTACAAGGTGGTGAAGATCCAGAAGCCCAAAAGGCTCGAGTTGCCCTCGTCACGCTTATCACCAAGAAACCTCGCCAGAAAACACCGCCGATAGAGGGCAAGGGCAAAGACTGGGCGTATATTCCCAATAGGAAAGACTCTCAGTCGTTTACCCAATCTGATTCTCAGCCCCAATCACAACCACAATCACAGTCACAGTCTAATGTCAACTCTACCTCGCGTTCCGAGGAAATTGAAGAGGTTATCCTGCAAGAAACCTCAATTATTCTACCGGCGAGTCAAGATGAGAGCCCGTCTCGAGCAAACGTGCTCGTACCAGACTCTAGTAGGGATGCGACACAAATGACTATGGGTGGAGCTGAGGGGGATATTGTAGAAGAGACTCCCATGCGCCCGCCTCCTCCACAACCCACTGATCCAGTCAGCCCCAGCAAAGTATCCCAAAAGGGTAAAGCACTCCCTTCCCAATATACTACATCTTCTCTTGGAGATGCCGGTGGACAGGAATCTTTAGCCCTACAAACTGAAGAATCTCCGGCCAATCAATTAGGGCGTACGAACACGATGGGAGATAAATCAAACAGGAGACTAGCAGGTATGCACTTGCTGTCCATTTGTCATGTTCCTATTCTTTTCCGTTTCTTATTCCATGTCAATTTTACTGTCTTCTATCTGATATTGTGCGATAACTGATCATTTCAATCCAGGCACTATGGCCTCCACCTCACAGAATCCTAAGAGAGGAATGGAACGAACTACATCTGCTGCCAGCTCAGAAGGAAATTTTAAAAGAGGTACTCAACAGGGTACTGCTTCAGGGGATCCAGCTTCCGCGTCATTTGCCACTGATATGCGTTCACAAGCCTATGCTGGGAACCTCGCTGCGCAAAACGCTGAGCGTGGCCTAGCCAGATTGGATGAAGCAGACGAATCGCATAGAGCACATTTCTATCAACAGAGTGCCGTAGGGCGTAGTCAACATGGGCAGGAAAGCGTAGAGGGAGAGTTTCGTAGTACCGACCGTAGCCTGAGCGGGACTGATCGCGAGCCTGGACATAAAGATACAGGCAAGAGTCACCCCAATTGGACCGTCACTGGTGTACCTTTCATTACTCCCGGCTCCCCCATAGCTCGTCATCGGGAGGTGGAGGAAGAGCTTGTGGAAGACTTAGAACCTGAAAGAATGGTGCAGGCTACACGAAGTGTCTCCGAGCCTCAAGCTGACAGGAACGTGGAGCGAACGCAGCCACCTCGCAAGTACGTTAGTACACCACGAGTCCCTCGTACAGTTGTTCGGGCTGTATCCAGCGATGAGGATGAACCTACCACCCAACGTCGCAAACAACGCCGTCGTGCCGGTCCCTCGACTCGTGCAGAACCTGCCTCATCTATGGGAGAAAAGGGGAAGCATCGTGTCAAAACGGTAGAAACCAAATCTCTTTCACAGACACGGGTTGTAAGGGAAGAAATACCCGCCTCACAGGAAGCCCCCGAGCCAGCTATAAACTACAGCCAGGAAATTGTGCCAGAAACACAACTCACTTCGTCAGACAAAACGGCCTCCCAAGATGCTCAGTCGCCCAAACTTCGGTATGAACAAGGACTTGCGGCCAATCAGGCAGCAGCCGCTCCAGTCGTCGCGGCAAATAACGATCCAAACACCTCTACTGATATCTCTGCCCGCGCACTGGGCCTCATTGGAACCGACTCAGACCCTAAGGTTAGCTGTCTATGATTAATTTCCTCCGAATTTACAGACGTCCTGACCTTTTCCATAAGTCCCCTCATACTTCTCGTAGAGACATATCTGGAGTGAGTGGAATCGGCGGGCAAGACATCTCTCAACCAGGAATTCTCCCCATCTTACATGCAGCAAATGCTGATAAGTCAGGAGAGGTAGATGAGCTTTTAGGTGCCTCTAAAAGTAGCAAGAGTGGCAAAGCAGGGGGACTGCAGAACGACAGCTCAGGACAGTCCTTCGAGATCCCGGATGGATTCGTCGATAAGATAACCTCTCAAGCAGATGCAAGTGCAGACATATCGCGATCACACGAGATATCCGAGATTTCCATTTATAGGGAGCAACGCTTCGACGAAGTGATAGTGAGGAGCAAACGAGTGGATATTGAAGACAATGACGTTCAAGAGCAGCCGCCAGAGACTGAGAACAGTAGGAAGAAAGGCCAAAAACGTGCGAAGGTAGTTGCTCCAGAAATAACAAAAACCCCTCAGTCGAAGCAACAAGGTCCACCTCAACACACCCCTAGTAGAGTTCATGCACCGGACAGCTCCCCAGCCCGACTATTCGGCTCTTCCCCTCTCACATCTCTAACTACGTCCAACGAGGCCGTTCGCCCCAAATCGCCCGCCAAACCGCCAACAAGATCGCAGCGTAAAACATATAGCGGCAAGCGAACTATCAGATCCGAAACCGAGTCGACAAGGCCTCTGCCAGCATCCGATCAACAAGAAGAAAACGAAGTTGAAGAATCCCTGGCCCTACTAGACGATCATTCCAGTCAAAGCTTGGATCCTTATGGGACTCGTGCCATACTTGCCAACTTGGTGGAGGAGCCCCCAGCTCCGAAAAAACGGTACGTCTTCTTTACATTTGTCGGTTGAAAACTAACTTCTTTTTAGGACTCGTCCACCACCAAGTGCCAACACTCGCTCGCGTAAAAGGGCACTCGAACGTTCTCCCCCTCCTGACGATGCCGCTCCCTCCCAGGCCGGCACTTCTCAACGTCCCTCAAAAAGGAGGCGCAAGGAACAACCGATTCCCGAGTCTTCGACATCGAATCAGCCAGAACTCGAACCAGTGGATCAAGAGGACTCGGCCAATCGTAGCCCATCCCCACCAGCTGCGCAACCACGCAAAGGGCGAGTTTTTGCGCTGTGGAAAAAACATTATTTCACTGCCAAGGTCACGGAGTTTTGGGACGCTACTGAAGGAGAGCCGCCCGCGGAAGCCAGCAATGCCAAGGGTAAAGCAAAGGGAAAGGGTAGTTCAAAAAGTAAAGAGAAGAGGAAGGCGAAAGAGAGCGCCACCGTTCCAAGCGGAACAATTTGCCGCATTGACTTTGATGATGGTACCTCAGCCACGATCCCTCTTCTGGCACTCTACCGGTGTGAACTCCGGGAGGGTGATGAGATCAAAATCCCAGGCAAGAGGGGAGGAAAATTAGGCCGCACAGCAACCGTTCACTCTGCTGCATCTTGGCCCGACAATGAAACTGTCGAAGTCCGGCCCTCGACCTCCCCCAAGGAGATCCTCACTGTAGTCGCCAAAGATCTTGCGGTCAGCGCCGAGATCGTAGAGGCTACCTGGGAGGATCGTTTGGTCCTATCACTGCAGGATATTGGACATGGTGATACGTTGGACAAACCAGCATATTCTGGGAGCCCAAAGAAGCTAACTGGCACTCGGACCCCCAGAGTCTCTGTGTCAACTGTGTTGCCTGAGGAATCCGAGAGTGAATCGCAGCCCCTACCAATCACCCGACAGCCCGGTCCTTCTCCATCCCGCGTACGCAAAGCTACAGGCTCTTCATTTGAAGAACATCCTTCGGCCCCACCAGGAAAACGACGAAACATCGAGCGCTTGTCACCTATCTTACCTGATGAGCGAAAGGCTGATCCTTTCCAAGGCTACGCCTTCATTACTGCTCTCCCGTTGAATAATGGAGCGAAGCCTATCGAGAAAGCTGCCCGCATCAAACAAAGGAAAGAGCTAGAGAAAACTATCAAACGACTCGGTGGTCGAGTGATCAATAATGGCTTTGAGGAGCTGATCGACTGGGGAGGTCAATTCAGTGATGATGGGAAAAGGTGGATATGGACACAGGGATCCATAACTTATCTGGAATCAGAGCAGCCCTCTACTTCAGCCCGGAAGAAGAGAGGCAAAGCCCCAGCCCCAGCTCCCGAAAGCATTTTCCTAGTGGCGGATGGAGTCAACCGGAACTCCAAGTATATGTTGGCCCTTGCTACAGGCATTCCATGCATTGACAAAGGGTGGATCGATGACGAGGTGAGACGGACAATATTTCCTTAGAACAAGCTTAGTACATCGCTAACCACAACGTTACGCAGGCCATTGAAGACTGGCAGACGTACACTCTTCCCGCCGGTTACTGCCACATCCTCGGACAACAATGCAGCCAATGGGTCGACCCTGAATGGGCAACACGCCCACGTAGCCTGAAGACCGCAGTAGAACACCCTACAATGACTAAAAAGCCTCTTATTAACAAATCTGTCCTATTCGTCGTTGCTTCCAAAAGGGGAAAGCCGGTATGTAGGTCTCATCCTTTGTTGCTCCAAATCTGACTAGCTGGAATAGATTGATGAAGAAAATTTCTCTTCCACCTATGTTTACCCTACACTTGCTTGTCTAATGGGTTGTTCTCGAGTCGAGATAGTCCATGATCTTCGCCACGCCTCTCTCACCCCAGAGGAATATAATATGATTATATATGAGGGTGAAATCCCGCCTAACGTGGAGAGCACAATCGGCAAACAAGGCAGTGGCAAAGTGGTCTGTGTAACCGTTGGTTGGCTCACTGACTGCCTCATTGCCGGTAGGCTTTTAAAATTCCGCCTCAAATTTTGATCACTCCTACATATATTGGTAATTTGTGACATATTCTCTTCACTGCCTCACGTCTTTTCGCGCTCAAATATTCCCTTCGATGTTTTCGCCTCGTATATCATGTACATTGCTTTCACCAATCCTCGTACATTCTGTATATCAACAATCATCCATGTATTATAGTGGTGATCGATATTTACAGTGACCTCTGCTGTCTTCTTCACTACGTAACACGCGAGGCTCCACATGATATGAGAGATAGCTACGTGAATGCGAGTATTATGCCCTTTGATAACTTGAGGTTATCACTGAGTGCTGTGTGGGCTCCGTATGCATGCTCTTTGTCTGCCAGTATTCGATCGAAGAAAGCGGGTTACACTCACTCTTCGTCCACCCGTCCGTGCCGTAAGGGTACCCACATTCAATGTATTTCTCCTCAGACGAGTTAAAACCTCATATATAAGCTTAAGATTAGCAAGCACCCCTACGCTAAAACCCAACATATACCCCTACCTTGTCGACGGGTGCTTGTGTCAAGGCTTTTGCGATGCGTACTCGGAGGAGAGCTGTCGACAAGTTGGATAAAAAGTCTCGAATAGATTGTAATAAAGATTCACACGATCTTTTGAGGTATCCGCTTGAGCCAATAGAAGCAGCTCTGCGATTGAATCGTGACGGCATGTCTCTGATAAAGGCTCCCTAGCCACCGGTCCAGGTCCTCACGGCATGTAGCTCGTAAACCCTGATCGAGAGTAACACTGGCCATCTTGACGGAAAGCAGATTCACCCGTCTCCCTTGTTATGGTACCTGGTCTCTCTAAAGACAATATGCTGGTGTCAGCTGATTATTGGACTTCTGGAAGGTATTATTAAGTATGCACTATACGTGAATGCTTGTGAATGCTTGTGGGCGTAACCACGTCCTTGATTCAAACTCCCTACCATTCTCTGTAATGAGCCTTGAAGGGCCTGTATAAAGGGAATCTCAGGGTTGACGTGGTATATATGGACACGAGTATACATAATGTACAAGTTCATATACCAACGGAACTCCAGACTTGGGAGATGGAAACGAATTCTAGAATTGTAGGAAGAATTACTAGGGATAAGAGATGATTTATCTTAATGGTCGTGCACTATGTTATATGGAATGAGGATGAAATGGGATACCGGGACTGCATGCGGGATGTGAGCATACTTCCAGTAGTATCCTCCATTGGCCTGCTCCAGTCAGGCTCATCCTTATGAGCCCATAGATAAAATTCATGTGATAACAGCCTCATTTATGTCTATTCAACTTGGATTGCATCTCACTTTAAGTGTAAGGGGGGTTTCAAATAAATCGTAAAGAAGTAAAGTCTCAGCGCAGCGCCTCTCATAGTACAAGAACCTTACAATATCCTTTAACGAATACATAAGTGATGGCCCAGATTTATTCGATGGATAATAAACGTGTAATCGACTGCTGACCATTGTTCCGGATCGCACAAGGAAGGAGTCAGAAGGAGCATCATAGATTGCGTCTCGAGCCCATTTTCTCACCCGTTCACCCCTCTCACATCTGATATCTTCTCTAGAGAACTCCTGCCTATGTCGAAATACTAGTACATCGGCCGAGGGGAGATACAAAGAGGGACCATGGGGTATGGTGGAGGCCGCTTTAGGAGCTGTACCCTCTGGTTCCAATCATGCCCCTAATAAGTTGCTAATATTCAACTGACTCACATTGGGGTAGATTAAGGTCTCCTGGTGCATATGCTCGCACCCGGGTGAACTGGAACGACACGTGCAATTGGTCGGAGTCGCTTCAGGATTTAGGAGGCCTCCTGTATCGTTTTCGACTTCTATCAGTGATTGATCGATCCCTCTGGCTATAACAATACGATAATGAACAGTACCTTGAGTTGTGAATGCGCAACAAGACTGCGAGAGGGGGACTGGGTTGGGATTTGTAGTTGTGTATAACTAGTATAGAGTCTAATAAGAGCTGCACTAGGGGGACAGGCTTCTCTCGTTCTTGAGTGCTTGATGGGGGCCCCCGTCTGTTGCGAACCAAAAGGCGGCGAAGTCGAGGAGATCGTTGGAGAATCGGGCGTCAGTATGCAGATGTCTACTGCTGCCGATCAACTTTTTTTGCAGCGTCGATGCCAAATAGCGTTCCTGATGTATAGGAGCAGATGGTTTCATTTATTCTTTCATTTTATCGTGGGGAAGGGACTATGATCGTGTTCGGTAACAGGTACTTCTACACAATATATCACGAATTGACATGGGTAAGCTACAAACTGAGATGATTTCGCGACCTAGTGCCTGAGTAATTCATCACGAGCGCGTCTCTACCCTTGCCTAGCGTAAGCACGAAATGCTTGCGCACCGACCAGGAGACGGGAAAAAGAATACAGGAAGAGGAAGACCAACGTACGTATATCCACAGAAAAACGCTCTGATCGCTTCACCTCTGGTGGGTGGCCTTCGCCAATCAGATGGGCGAGCTTTCTCCATATAGAAGGTCTAAAACGAAGTTATGTTACGTGGACTAGTAATCGGAAATCTCTGGTATCCTTTTGCGAGAGTATTTGCGCAGCCACCTCGTCATAGAAATATCTCTCTAATCAACTTGCCGCAGACGGCGGTGAAGGTTTGATGGCCACATCGTTTTAGCGGCGGAGGGCGAGGGCTTGGGGATAGCGATTTGGCCAATAGGGATCTACAACTGCGACCGCAAGGCAGTCGCATTTGTGCGATGGGACATTGTTCAATAGTGCCCAACATGCAGATTGGCAGCGCAATGCTTCTATCATAGATCAAAGATCGATTGGGGGAAAAGGGAAAATGAAGTGGTGGTGGGGAGGGGTGGGGGGTACTCGACAGTGAAAACTGCCGAAATGGCACTAAGGTTTGCTGTTGGTCGGCGTGTG